GAGTCGAATCAACTTGACTGCAGTGCGTTCTTTTTTTTTACCATCATGTGACTGTGCCCAGAAGTGTGCCTCATCCTCTCTGGGCCTCAGTTTCCCATCTATAAAATGGGGTCACTGTCACCTTCTCCGGAGCTTTGGTGGTGTAGTGGGTGAGGCACTTGACTTCTAACCAAAAGTCGGTGGTTCGAACCCACCAGCTGCTCCACAGAAGAAAGATGAGTCTGGCTGTTTTCCTAAAGATTTACGGCCTGGACTCCAGCGGCAGTCACTATGAGTCGGGATCGAGCTGATGGCAGTGGGTTTGGTTTGAATCTGGTCACCTCCCCACGTGGCTATGCCCTGGGGAGTGCCTTGTCCTCTCTGTGCCTCACTTTTCCATCTAACACAGGGTCACTGTCGCTTTTGCACCACGCAGCTGTGCCCGGGGCTCGGGGCTGAGCAGGCACTTGGAGCCGCGAGCCCTTGAGGACAGGCTTGGCTCCTTCCCCTTTGCGTCTCCGCAGTCCCGGGCAGTGGCAGCGTGAGCCCGTCTAGGAACGGTGTCTTCATGGCGTCTTCATCCCTTCTCTGCCCACCCGTGCCCGGTCCGTGCTCCCGGGGTCCCTGTTGATGCTGTGGTTCTGAACCCGTTCACCACACCTCTTTGGTCCCACCTGCTCTGAGGAGAGCAGGGGGCCTGATGGGGTGGGACTCAGAGCTGCCGACACCAGCACTAACTCTCACTTCCTGCCAGGTCCACAACGTGGCGTTCGCCTTTGAACTGATGCTGGAGGGAGGTCTCAAGAGGCCGAAGGCCCGCCCTGAAGGTAATGACCTCGTGCCTGGGCCCTGCGGGGGGGGGCAGGACACGACGGCAGTCCTGTGACTGAAGGTGATGCCCTTGTGCCTGGGCCCCGGGGGGGCAGGACACGACGGCAGTCCTGTGACAGCAGTCTCAGAGGCGGCTGATGGCCAGAACTGAAGGCCAGGCTCTGCAGACCTCACCCTGGGAGCCGGGCGACCATGACGACCGAGCTAATAGCACCAGTCGTTAATAGCCACTTGACTTTGGAAAGGTGGCCTCCAGGGTGGGATCTGGGAGCTAAGTGCCGCTGCAGCTGGTTCTCATGCCTTGAAGCCGTATTAAAGGCTTAGTGAGATTAATGAGTGTTAGGGCAGTGTCCTCTGGTGCCCACACACACGGCAATCAGTGGGCAGGAACTCAGCTGGTCATACTCCTGTGGGCCTGGAGGGCACCCCGTGGCACTGGCCCCTATTTTAGGGTGCCTAGAAAGGGCCTCTCCAGCCCCTGGGGGGGCTTGTTAAGCACACAAGGCCACTTCCCAGGCTCTGACTGAGGAGGTGTGGGGTGAGGCCCGGCGCTCTGCACGTCTAGCAATGGCCACTCTGGGTGAGTGGGCCAGGTGTGGGTGCTGCTGGGGCACGGGGGGCACAATGGGGAAAGTAAGGTAGAAGTCACCGCAGCGGTCAGCAGGGCCACGGTGGGGAGGGCCTGGCCCGGCCTGCGGCCTGGGGAGCTGAAGCTGGGTGCGCAGGGGGACCAAGCAGTCAGAAAGCAGGCGAGCGGGAGCGGCGCACGGGAGAGGTGCGCACCCGCGCCGCGACACGTGCTCAGGGCGGCCTCCGCCCCCTCGTAGGGTGCAGACCCAAGTGTCCTGGGTCTTCCCAGAGGTCTGGGCAGGGTCTTGCGGAAGGGAGGAGACAAGAGCGGCAGCGTAACTGACGGTGCAGCCCGGGAGGGGGCGTGGTTGGGGGCGTGGCCAAGGGTGTGACAGGACTGAGGGCGTGGCGCGGCGCGGAGAGGGCGTGGCGCGGAGAGGGCGCGGCCGCAGCAGGCCTGAGAATTGGGCGGAGGTGAGGCGGCGGAGAGGCCTGGCTGAAATGATTCCTGGCCGGTGGGGTCTGGCTCTCAGCTGCCGTTTGCTTCATGTCTGGGCAGCTTCTGCAGAGGCTCTGACCCTAGGGTCCTCTCTGAGATGCAGCTATGGGGTCCCTGCTGCTGGAGCTCTGAGCACGAGGACTTCAAGTCCCCCCATCGGCAGGCAGGCGGGCGCTTCCGTCTCCCCGGCTTTTCACTGTCAACTGAGGCACAGCCCACAGAGTGGGGCGTCTCCTCGCCCCTGGGCCCTCCCTACCTTCTGGGCTCCTCTGCGTGGCCCTTGGTCGGGTGTGAGCATCACCTGGCCTTAACCCTCAGCTCTGAGGCAGCAGGGCAGGGCCATGGTTTCCAGGCTGGCTTCTTGTTTTTGTGAAACCCCATGGGGGTCCCATCAATCAGGCCGAGGGGCTGGGGTGACACCCTCACTCCTGCCCCGGCTCTCTGTTGCAGGCACCGTTGCCCGGGCCACCTCACGTGTGTCAGACGAGAACTGTTCCATTCGGTTTTCATGGGTGTTGTCTTTATTAATCACGGGCTCTTCATACATGGCGCTGGTGGGTGTTTGAACCACCAACCTCTTCGCTGGTATCCAGCGCAAACTGTTTGCCACCCAGGGACCTGTAGCAACCACATCCTCCTAAAAATCTGAGTCCTCCCTCTTGTCAGCTCTTGAGAGCCTCAGGACCCTCTCTCCTGGCTGCGTCCGGATCCTGGGCTGCCCACCTCCCTCTCCCACTGCCCGCATGGGCCTGCCCAGGACCTGGGGCCTGATGACTGGGTCGGGGAGCCCCTGATGAAGCCCTGGGTGTGATCTGCAAACCGGCTGTCCCGAGTTCAGGTTAGCCTTTCCCCTGCTGGGAGTCCTGCCCTTCTCCTTGGCAAAGTCAAGAGTGAGGCCATGCCAGCTCTGCTGCCTGCTGCACTCACGACAAGGACAGATGTAACGCAGCCGCCCAGCCTGCTTGCTCTTGACAGATGGCATTTCTGGCTCATGCAGCTAACCACCTGCAGGAGTAAAGCGTGGGCTTGTTCCATGGCCTTGGAGCCACGGAACTCAGAGCCCAAACAGTCAGTGTCAGTGGGTCCAGTGAGCCCATTTTACAGATGAGGAGGCTGTCACAGTGCAGGGAAGTCACAGAGCAAATGAGAGGAACCAGGTGTCCTGGATCCCAGAAAGACGGGCCCTTTCCCACCAGAAAAGACAGCCACACTTACTGGGCCCCAGAGGGAGCTGTCTGATTCCATAAATGCCCTGCTAGGGGCTCACATCACATGACTGCCCTGCCCTAGAAGGTCCGGCTTGCCCGCAGGCCACACTGGGCCAGACCTCTGGCCAGTTGTTGTTGTTGTTGTTGTTGTTATGTGCCGTCGAGTCAGCCCCGACTCATAGCGACCCCTCCTTGGGTTTCCGAGGCAGTGTCACTACGGAAGTAGGATTGCCCAACCTTCCTTCCGAGGAGTGGCTGGTGGGTTTGAACCACCAGCCTTCTGGTTATCAGTCAAGTGCCTTAGGCACTATGCTACCAGAGCTCCCCTGGCCAGTAGGTATATAAACCCAAACTCACTGCCATCAAGTCGATTCTGATAGTGATCCGTCCTTGGATTTCTGAGGCAGTATCTCTACGGAAGTAGATTGTCCAGTCTTCCTTCTGAGGAGTGGCTGGTGGGTTTGAACTGCAAGCCCTCTGGTTAGCAGTCAATGCCTTAGGCACTACGCCATCAGAGCTCCTAGTAGGTATAAGGCACCCGGTAAATGTCTCTGCACTTACAAAGCTCCATATCCCACAAACAAGCCCTGCTCCTTGGACAAGCACGTCTGTAAGCTCAAGGTTGGACTAAGGGACATCACCGTCCCCATCTCAGGCGTTCATCCCTGGGGCTCTGGTGTGTGCTGGGGGCTCCCAGCAGCCTGTGTGTCTCCATATAGCGCTGCCCAGAGTGTCGTGGACTGGCTCTGGTCGTGGGCACTGGGGCAGGGGGTGGTTTCTAGAATTGTTCTCAGCTGCTGTTAAGTTAGCCCCTGACTTGTGGTGACTCCACGCCCAGCAGAATGAAGTACCACCTGGTCTTGGGCCGTCCCCATGATGCTAGGGGGCCCGGACCACTGTGCTGCGTGGGTTTTCCTTGATTTTCAGAAATGGATCACCAGGCCTTTGTTCCTGGTCTCTCAGTCTGGTGCCTCCCCCACCCGCTCACCCCAACCCGGTTTCAAGACAGCCAGCAGTAATTGAGAAGGATGGCAGGGCCCGTGCAGCGAGCCCACTGCCCCTGCTAACTGGTGAAGTGCTGGCCCGCCCTTGGACACCAGGGCCCATGAGTTTCTCTGCTTCCTTCCACAGATGTGGTGGACCGGGACCTCAAGTCCACCCTGAGGGTCCTGTACAACCTGTTCACCAAGTACAAGAATGTCGAGTGACGGCCCAAGGGCTGCGGGACAGTTTCCGGAAAGAAGAGCGCGTCTACGAGTGTGGTTCCCAGGGGCGTCTGTGGCTTCTGTCAGGCCGTGTGCTCCTTCCCCACCGCCCCTCCCTCTCTGTGACTCCTCAGCGGGGAGGAGCCTTTGAACAGGCAGCATTTTAAACAGAGACACCTCCCTCGTTCTCCTGATGCCGAGTCACTCATTGTCTGCTGCGATCAAAAGATGATTAAAAAAAAAAAAGCCCAAACCCAAGCCTCACAGCCCATCGGAGGGAGTGGACCCCAAACACTGTTCAGGGGGGCAGTTAGAGATCTCAGGTGTCCCAGCACAGCCTGGCAGGAACTACAGGCCAGACTTGGGCGGTTGGGGGATGTTCTGGGGGAAGTCTGGCCACAATATCCTTGGAAGCAAAGCCTCCTTAGTAACAGGGCTTTTGTTTGTTTTATCCTTTTTACTGTGATTTGGGTTAAAGTGTGCAGAGCAAATCTGTTTTCCGTCCCACAGGCCCCCACATTCTGTTCAATGTCGCTGGTTGCAGTCAGTGGAGTGTCACCCCACCCTTCCCCCCGTGTTTCCATTTCCCTTCTCCCTCCTATCCTGACCCTTCCTGCCTTCTGAAGGGTTTCTATGCTGGGATAAAGGCTGCCCACTTGATCTCGAACGATTGATAGTTTTAAGGTGTTCGTACCTCCCTGGTGTCATTGTTCACCTTGTAGACCTGTCCGCTGTTTGACTGAAAACTGAGCTACGAGAGTGAGTTTAGTTCTAGATCTGAAGGGTGACCAAGGGCCCTTGGGGGTTCCACCAGTCTCCATCAGACCAGTGAGCCTGGTCATTTTTATGGGTTAGAGTTTTGTTCCACACTTTGCTCTCACTCCATCCGGTACCTTCTCCTGTGATCCCTTTCCGAGAAGAGCGGTGGTGGCCGGGCACCATCTAGCTCCTCTGGTCTCAGTTGTGCAGGCTGACGTTCCAGTGACAGGGGTTTGCAGTTTTGAAAACGTCACTCCAAAGTCTCGGAAGCTAGAAATGTGACAGGTGTCCACCCCGGGCCACTGTCACTTCTCAACCACTCAGTTCTACTCTTGTGGAGCTGTTGTGCAGACACCCAGGACCCTGGATGACCCAGTGGCAGGCCCACGAGGGCACAAGCCCTGTTTCCTGCTGTGGCCGAGGGCATGGGTGCAGAGCTGGCTGTAAACGGGCTGCTTGGCTTCCTGTTGTTTGTGGTTGCCGTCACGGCGACCACTGTGTGCCGGCTAGAACGGCTCCCTAGAGTCTTCAAGGTCATGACCTTTCAGAAGCCGATCACCGGCCTGTCTTCCCACACACCTCTGAGTGGGTTCAAACTGTCAACCTTCCGGCTGGTAGCTGAGCACTTAACCCTTTGGGCTGCCCAAGGACTCCCTTAAGTGTTCTGTGTGGGGCACTCAGATCTAGCACCTCCATCTCAAGGCTCTGCTTGGGAATGAATGAATCTACAGAAACTGAAAATGGAAGAAGGGTCTTGGTCCTTAGTGTGGCTGTAACAGAAATACCACTGGGTGGTTTTAAGAGCAGAAATTTATTGTCTTGGGGTTCAGGAGACTAGAATTGTGAATTCTGGGCATGGCTCTGGGGAAAAGCCCTTTGGAGCATCAGTGGAGGCCATTCCTTGATTCTGTGCCAATCTCCCTGTGGCATCTGTGGTCCCCCCATTTCTGCTTGCCTCTCTCTGCACCTGGTCGGCTGTTTGTATCTCAAAAGCTGTGGGCTTTAGGACACACCCCCACTGCCACGGTCTCACTGACATGACAAAGAAAACCCTGGTCATGGGCCCACTCAAATGTGTGGTGGTGGTCGTAGCTGTCAATTCCAACTTGTGGCGACCCCTTGTGTGTAGAGAACTGCTCCAAAGGTGGTGGGGTTTTTTTTTTAACTTTTTTATTAAGATCTGGGTGAAAGTTTACAGACGAATAGGTTTCTTGTGCAACAATTCACATTTTGTTTTGTGACATTGGCTGCCACCCCCACAGTGTAAGAGCAGAAGCAGATCACGAGGCCAGTCTTCTGAGGCACCGTTGGGTGGGTTTGACCCACCAACCTTTTGGCTTTCAGTCAAGTGCTGAACTCTTTGTACCACAAACTCCTGCCACAGATCTAAGGGTCAGGATGCCACCACATGTCGGGGGGACACAGTTCGTCTGTAACGGAGACAGTGTGACGTGTTCATCCTATGCACATCAGTGCTGCAGCTCACCCAGCCCTTGGGGTCTCCCTCGGGGGGCGTGTCCCTGTAAAAGGACATGCTGCACTCCGCTGTGCTTATCACCCCATTGCATGCCTGGGCTTTGGAGGGAGATGGGGACCCACCGCCTGGGTTTTCTGGGCTGGTCCCTCCCTTGGCGCCTGACCAACACCCCCTTCCAGCTCACGATGGGGCCCGTGACGTCGTCTCCTGATCCCCGGGGAGCCCGCTGCCTCCCGGGACCCCTCCACGCATCTGTGCTCAGCAGAGAGATGAGCCGCTCTCCTCTCTGATCCCCCCTTCCGGGTGCGGATCGGAGCAGAGATTGCGTTGCTCGTATTAACTCAAATGCCGCAGCTGAAGTTCTAGAAAACAGCTTAATATCCTCGCTGGGCTCCGGCTGCTGTCAGGCTGGGGGTGGGCTCTGAAGGACCGTTTGATGGGGATGGTTTCCCAGCAGGGAAAGAAAGAATTAAAGCGGCATTGCCGTGTCTCCTGCGGGATGCGGTGACATTAAAGAGCTGGAACATTCTGCACCACCGTCATTGCCCGCACAGAATCAGCGACCCGGGCAGCGGCAGTGTGGGGGAGGGCAGGATCCACTGGCCTGCTCACCCGTGGGCTCGGGGTGGGTGCCCCTGATTCCTGGGGGCAGAGGCCGTGGGGCCCGCTGGGACAACTAGGCCAAATCGGGGTTTGCAAAGAGCTGGGGGTGGTCAGTCCAAGCGAGCATGCCCTGGACAGCGAGGGGATGGTCCTTTGAGGGACTTGGGTCCTGGCAGCTCGGGTCCAGCTAAGAACGTGCCCACTCGTGCCCACTGCAAGTCGTGTGAGTCAAACGAAAGAATAATAGGTTATCAGGGCACGTGGGACCCCGATGAACAGGCCCTTGGGCTTCCCCACAATGACTGCTTGAAGGAAAAGATGGACCTTTGGTTTTCTTTTCTCCAAAACAAAGGTGTAGGTGTGCCTCCTGCACACCTGGGAAGGGGGCCCTCGGGGTGTGTTCGTCTCTTTACCTGTTGGCTGTTGGTTCTTATGGGGTCCCTGGGTGGCACGGGCGATTAAGCACTCGACCACAGGTTGGTGGTTCACACCCACCCAGCAGCTCCTCATAAGAAAAGCCTGGTGATCTTCCAAGCCCATGGAGCATGGTTCCACTCCAACCCCTAAAGCAGAAGCCCCGGTGAGCCGATGAGAGACACTGATGGAGGCTTATTTAATACACAGTTTGTAAGTCAGGGTAACAGTTGGACTAACCTAACCCTGTCATCGAGTCAATTCTGATTACAGCGACCCCATAGATCAGAGTACTGTCTTGTAGGGTTTCCAAGGCTGCAATCTTTATGGAAGCAAACTGCCACATTTTTCTCCCCAGAGCAGCTGGTGGGTTGGAACCACCAACCTTTCAGTTAGCAGCCAAGGGTTTAACCACTGTGCCCCCAGAGCTGCAGAATATTTCAACAACTTTTGTTGTTAGATGCCGTCAAGTCGGTTCCGGCTCGTAGTGACCCCATGTCCAACGGAACAAAACGCGCCCGGGCCTGCGTCAGCCTCACGATTGTAGCCGTGGTTGAGCCCATCGCTGCAGCCACCATGTCAGTCCAGCTCAAAAATGTTTCAAAATGAAAATAATGTCCAAAATTATTGTACCACATCTTACCGGCATTGCCATGGAAACGGATCCAGAAAGGAAAAGAAAAATTGCCGTTGAGTCGATTGGACTCATAGCAACCCCTCCTTGGGTTTCTGACGCAATATTTCTCTGGAAGTAGATTTCCCAGTCTTCCTTCCGAGGAGCGGCTGGTGGGTTTGAACCGCCAGCCTTCTGGTTAGCAGTCAAATGCCTTAGGCACTATGCCACCAGAGCTCCCCCAGAATAGTGATTATATAATAACCAGTTACCCTGAAACACAGCTTCTAGTCTGAACTTGAAGTTTCTGTTCCTCAAAACTGAGACCACACTGGTCATTCTTCAGAAGAGCCCAGTGCCTGAAGCAAAGGGAGTTTTAGTAGTTTATCTACACCGTCGATTCATTCAAAACCCCTTCGTTACAAAGTTATTTTTTTCGTGTATAAGATTTTGTAGATATAATTTTTTGTTTCTTGCTAACCAGAAAGTTGGTGGTTCAAACCCACCAGCCACTCTGCGGAGGAAAGACTGGGCAATCTACTTCCGTAAAGATTTACTGCCTTGGAAACCCAGTTGGGGTCACTCTGAGTCAGAATCAACTTAGTGGCAGTGTTTTTTTTTTTTTAATGTAATGCATGGTTAATCATTGAGTACTTCAAAATCTTTATGAGGTAGACTGATAAATATTATTTGTGGGACACATGTCCCAAGGGACTTTAGTGGTAGGATAGGTGGAATGAGGCGTGGAAAACACAGTCACTTGCGTATTATCTAATCTTGAACACCACACCTTCCAATAACACACAGGAAACAGTAAATGTATCTAGAAGCTTGTCTTGCCGTGCAGAAGCCCAGAGAGACTGTTTACAGTCACTTTCCCAGGATGCACCACCTCAGACAGTGACTTCTCAGCCCAGTAATATGTCACCAACAAACTTCCTCCTCTTTTACGCAGTTACTCAAGTTCCCACCCCAACACCATCATGTACTACATGTGGATAAAAAGCCACCCAAGACAACTCGAGGCAGAAAATGTTAAGTGGTACTTATATGTACCACAGGTTACAGAAGAGTTAAAGGTGACTTTTAGGCTTTGAACTGATTCAGAGTAGTTCAGTAATTACCATCATAAACAAG